TTTGAAGTTCACCAGGTTTCAGGTGTAGGGGTCGGGCCACCAGACTGTCAGACAAGGGTTGGTCTCGTCGGCTGATTTGTAGCATTCTCACCGGAGCGGTTCGAGCATGGCTCGATGACATTGCCCAGGTGCGATGTGAAACCTCTTCAGGCGGGGCGGTTGCTTGGCGGCAGACGGCAGGGGGACCACTTTATATGGGGCAAGGAAGGAGCCTCGGAGACGATTGAGAGCTTCTCGTAGCATGGCTTGGGAAAAACTGTTCCTTATCCCACCGATGGAAGTGAATGCCAGGACGGCTGGCTCCAATGGCCCTACCGAGATGTGTCGGGTGATTCCTGAGATTAACGGTGGGTACACGAGCGGCAAGTCGGGATGGGGTATTCTGGGTAAGGAGGAAAGGGCAAATGCCTTGCTGAGACCTGGGTACCGCGCTCGTGACGGTTGAGCTGTGCTTGAGGTATGGGATAAAACCCTACCGATAGTACCAGCGGAGAGACCATATTGGGATGGCCGGTGAGGAGATGACCGGCCCGTACGTGAGGTTGCCTGATTTTCTTTTATGTGTTCCCCCTCTGTAAAAATTGATTGAGATTGGACTGTTGGACGGGCACTCTTCTAAGTCCATTCCCCCTGCCATCTAAGTCCGCATGAGTGAGAGATGATCGGAAGGAAGGAGGATAGAGGTCAATTGGAATGAAACCAAGAGAAAGAATGTGGGCAAATGGATGGCCGGGGGGAGGTAAAATAGGGAGACCTTGATGAGGGGTCTAAAATAATTCTCATCTAGGACAAGGATTGACCTGACCAAAAGGATCGGTTGGTGCCTTTTTATGAAAACAGGGGTCGGATGCTGAAAACAAGATGGCGCGATGGTTGCCTTCCCCGATCTATACTAACGGTCCGAAAATGCCAGTAGATGTAAAGGATGGGGTATCGGTCGTCCTCCCGGAAAATGGAACGTGGACGGACCTTGAACCAGCGTATCAAACGGTAATGCTGGAAGTATAGGATGCTTTCCTTTGGATAGAAACCATATGGACTAATGTCAGCTTGACGAGGCTGTCACCAAGCTTAATGGATTTGGAATTCCGAGGGACAGTGGAAGCCCGGGGGTGGGTCTACTTGTCGCAAGATGAGGAGAGAGCTATGATCATAGAGTAGACACTCGGAAATACGCCGGACAAGCTGTTTAGGAAAGCAAAAGCAGAGGTTGTGTGGGCTGCATGTCAACGGAGGGAAATGGAAATAGAAAAGGTAGACGTACGGGTGAAACTTGGGGATAGAGGAAGCATGAGGCGACCCGTAAGAATCATGTGATGTGTACTCCCGTCTTTCCTAGTGGATGTGGTTTTCGGAACCCGGAGCAGGCTAGTACGGATATGCCAGTCCATGATGAACCTCGGGCTATACGAATGCGCCAGGCAAGATTTTTTTCGGTTATTAGTAGAAATGGGGCCGTTCGAGGGGAACTGGGCGTAGGAGCTAGCCGAGATACTAAACGGCCTTAGCATAGACAATATCTTTGTCCCTAGCGTTGTGCATTGGGGGATAGTCTATAGGAATGTGGCAATAGGGGAGACGTTTCTAGATGGGGTAAGGGAGTTGGTATACGATGAGAAGGATGACTTCAGTGATGAAGACGAAGATGAAGAGATAGAGGACTGAGACTTCTGAGAGGGGTGGGGAAGCTTAACTTAGGAAGGACGGGTGGCCTGGTATTGTGCAGGAAAGGGAAACATGACTAGAGAAGAAAGGATGATGGAATACCCCTTCAAAGGCTGGGAACCACGACGACTCAGAGGAGGAATACAAATCCCTATACCAACAGGGAACGGATGGAGAGTACCCCATGCGACTAGATTGGGTTTGAGGTTGCCCGGGACTTGTCATATGTATGGATAGAGCGGATTTGGAACCCGATAAGGGAAGAGGAAGTTTGGGATGATATAGCTGAAGGCAAGGTAGAGTCAGTTGGAACGATTGTCCTTTCCGAGGATGGATGGCACCTTTTTTGCACCATGTTAGCAATGGGACAGGACCCGATGTGGCTTCTAGGGGATGCAGAGGCCCGAACCCGAAAGGAAGGCAAGTTGTTCGCCAACGAGGGATGGGACGAAGTTAGTAGCAGAGTTGTGATGGGAGGATGGAAGGAATTCAAACCTCCAAGTCTACGGACAACGGCTTGGGTAACGAAATTCATAGCCGAGTGGTTTGGGGGGTGTGAGCACATTTTTAGAAGTAGCCGACTCCATGAGAAGGGTGCATATAGAGTGTGCCTGGTTGACTGAGGAGTTCTATAGGCTCTCATTGAAATATGGGCCCTTCTACGGAGATAAAGTCGAGGAAGTCGTCATCCTCCTAAGAATAGGCAGGTATGACCGCCTAGTGGTAGAGGCGGAGTCTTGGGACGTCATAGTTAGCCGGGAGCAGCGACTGCACCCTCCTACGTAGACGACGTCTTTAAACTATTTGAGGTACWGTGGTTCGACTKAATGAGGSCAAGGAATCGAACAYAACGAAAAAGGYTGAGTATGGAGTGTGCTTGTGAAGTAAGGTGTAACATAAGAAAGGGGGYGTGTACATTAGGCCGTAGATGGTGCATAAGGATCGAAACAAGGAGGAAGTGACAGCAACTAGAAAATGRGGGTCGGGTAGAATCGAACGTSTATGAGTTGGGGATAGCGGCAGGAACCAGTGTACGATAAGTAGGGAGGGTCGAAAGACTAAAACACGAAAGGCATGGAATCTCGGTGGGTGCAGCGATCGGACTAAGAAAGCAGGAAAGGAGATATTGCGAGATGGCTCGGCGAATAACGTTCTGGGCGGATAGACCGCGTGGGATACTGCCACCAAGAATATCAGAGGGCAGGGTTGAAATAAGCCTGCCGGCGAGAAATATGGTAGGCAATCCGGTAATGGACTGGGTGGGGGTAGATTTGGTGGAAGATACGGTATACCTAGTAGTGAAGCTAGAATGGCGGGCGAGAGGGGACTTCGGGTGCGTAGACTTGAACCGCCCAGGGCGTGTACACGCGACGGGATCCTTACACCTGTCGGAAGAGGGATGGCGGACCTTGGGGATTGCTTTGGCTTCCGGGGATGACCCCGTGCGAATGTTCGAAGGGGCACGGCAAATAACCTKGCGGGAGGGSTTTGAGTTTGCAGACCCGGAACGAGATSACGTAACGGCRGAGGTAAAAGTCGCCGCGGCGGGGGGTTTTGAGCTGCCAAATGAGGTCGTACGGATRAGTCTACCACCCTCCCTGCTAAGACGAATGGGGGGCATAGAACGAGTGGAGCAGGCGGTGACTGACGTAACTAGGCTAAATTTTGACGAAGCATTAATGTATCGAGAATACTATCGGGCCTTTCKAGAGATRGGGSCTTTCGGGGACGAACAGGGCCGCGAAGTGCTTTGCATTCTACGGGCGGCAATAGATACTAGGCCGGGAGTCCCACAAATAGATGACGAGGCCTTGTGGGGAGTCATCCGGCGGGAGGTAGGCCGGGGCGCGACCCACATAGACGACCTGTACCAATTGTATGAACACCCAGAAAAGGCTACTGCTCCCGGAGGTGTGGAGGGATAGTTGGAACCAGAAAAGAAAGTTGAAAAACACGAAGGGCAAGGGGGCAGTAGGTGGACGGTTTCTAAGGATTGGCTGTAACACTTTCCATGTGGATCATGCAGGAAATCACCAAGGTACCCATGACAGCAAGACGTGAGCATAGGGAACTTCAGGCCCGTGTGCGAATGGCGCGCCAACCCCGCTACCCCGGACCGCCGTGGAATAACGGTGGACGTTGGAAAGTATCCCTCCCGTCGAGTTCAACTTATCGGGGGTTCGATATAGAATGGCGGGCTGTGACTTTGGGGAGGGACGCCGCCTTCATGTTGGTACAATGTCGGTGGACAGGGATGAGACTCGACCGAGGACCCGGGGATGATCTGTTTTCCAATCTGGAAGTTACCGGGACCATGCATCTGCCGGAGCTCGGCTGACACTCGTTGGGGGTAGAAATAGCACAAGGTCATGAGCTGGCGCCGGTTTTTCAAAGGGCCGCTCGGACGTTGACCCGGATAGGACAATCAGTCAGGGGTAGAAGGAACGTGGGCTTACTTACCCGGGTGGAAATGGGGGAATGGCGTGAATTCAGAGCACCAACCACACCGCTGAGGTGCCGGGTCCCCCGTTTTATGATAGATCTCGTCTTCGGGAGCCTCGCAAGGGCGCGAGAGCTGGCGGACTCGGCAATAATGTGGGCAAACCACTTTTCCTCTCTAACCATCGGGATTTTCTATGATGTCGCCGTGAGGCATGGGCCATTCTGGGGAAACAGGGCCCACGAGTTACTGGAGGTCATCCATATCCTGATATTTCGTGCGCCCTAGCTAGACCAGAAAGGGCACGAACGCATAATCCAAAGGAAAATCGAGATAGGAGAGAGTTATTTGGCAGGGGTGGCTGAACTATTCGAGGAGCCGACCGAACCGGAAGAACCACGAGGGCGCGAGCGGGACTAGGACCCGCAGGCAGGCCAATAGGGCAGATCCAGTATAGTTCGCTGCGTGCGGAAATTCGGCGATGGGAATAAGAAAGGGGCCTCGACCCGGATGGCTAAAACCCACTAGAAAAACAAAGAAGGGGGTAGACTCCTAATGAGTTACCATGATCCGGAGGGTAAAAAACGGGAAACGCTGCTCGGGAAGGCTTCCCTTAGCAGGATGCCTAACCCGGACTCCCTCGCGTCAGCTGACGGGACAAGGGCACTACAAATGGGCTTGTGATAAATAAAGCCAGTCACGTTCATAGCTCGGCTGGGCGGCAGAGCCGGTCGTGGCTCCTCCTTAAGGAAGGGCAATCAGGAAACAAGGATAAGAAAGGAGACTATAAAGATAAGCCAACAGAGCTAGGGSCCTAGGGAACCTAAAAACCTCGCATTGCGTGTGTCCTGGGAATTCTTTGGCTTATGCAGAACTAGGCAAAATGGCAACGAAGGAGGAGAGATAATCATAAGAGTGAAGGGGAACCAGGCTTAGGAGGCAGTGCCGCACAAAGCGAAGGGGGGCAAAAGGACAGAGAATCGATAAATCCGGATGGTACCAAAGAAAACCGGAAGGAGATCTCCACAGGGGAAAGCTCGGGGAAAGCTGRGGGAAGCAGGCAAGGGACTCAGGGGACCAAGGAAGGTAGAAATAAGGATAGGACAARCCCCGGGAACTCGGAAGGTGYCGTGTCTAAGAAAGTAAGGGTCACGGATACGAGGCGCAAACWAGTCGAGATAGACAAARGGACCGCGGAGTACAAKGCAAGATTGATTGAGGAAATGATGATTGAGAAYGAAGAAGGCTCTCTGCAGGAGGAGCCCCGGGACGAACGGAGAACCGGCCGAGGTGGGACTGGACAAGGGGGTAAAGGTAGTGACCGTGGGGGAACGCCGAGCAAAAGAAGGAAAGAGGGGGAGAACTCTCCGGGGATGAACCAGGAAAAGGCTACGACCCCGCCAGCCATAGATAGTAGGGCTAGCCGCCTGCCGACCGCGCCAGTGGTGACGCGAGGGCGCGAAGGACTCTGGAGCCTTAGGGAAAGAGTGTTGGGATCGTTTGACCCGGAAGGAACTACGAAAACCAGGGAGGGACAAAAGGCCGGCAAGGAAGGTCCAGATAACAGTGTGACAGGCGTGGCCAGCAGCTCTGAGGGCGGCCTTAAGAAGATAATATCGTCCCTCGCGCGAGCACTAAACAAAAATCAAGGCTACCTAGCGGATGCTAAGAAAAAGTTGACGTTTGATGGGGCGAACATCACGCAATTTATGATAGATTACGAGAATCTGGCTGCGCTGTTGAAATGGACCGAAGAGGAGAAGATGGACCACATGGGACAGCATGTGTCTTTGAGCCTAGGACGGGACATAATGGCCATCGTGGCCGCAAGCCGGTCTTGGAAAGAAATCCGGGATGTGATGATGAGAAAGTATCTGGCAGCAGAGAAGATGGCAACGGAGGCCGATTTAGCGGCAGTCCAGAGGAAGAACTTCGCAACGTACAATGACTTCCTACGGGAGTTTACTTTGGTAGCACTAAGGATCCCCGGGGTCACGGACCGGATAATGAGCAAATATTTCCTCAGGCAGTTCTCTRAGTTCSACAAAGACAAGATCCTGTCAGCCTACCAACAGACAAGTAAGTTCGTAAACACGCSGGATGTTGATTTTAGCACGGTAACGGATCWGGCTGARAAAACGGTAGTGACAGAAACGTTGGCCTTGCTTAAGGAAGGGGAGATTATAGACTTGACCAGTARGACRGGCGACAAGGTGARAAAGGGGATTGAAAGCCTACACGAACRGGTGCATGGAGTCGACAACAAGATTGAAAGGATGGAGAGCGCGCTACTAGTTATGCAGGCGCAAGTATCTCGTCCCCCCCTCCCGCCCCAGGAAGCAGTAGTTCCCCCTAGGTGGCCAAGCGTGGATATGGACGGAGAGATCCCGCCAACGAGCAATGCAAATACTGTACCGCGATAGGACATTATGTGCACGCGTGTCCAAAGCTCAACCATGATATTTAGAAAATAAGGTGTACCAGGTCATTAAAGGGGGGGATATTTGGACCACAGGAGGAACGGGTGAACTGAAACTCGCCAGGAGGGATGCAGCGAGCCATCATCATGGTCAACGGGCTAAAAATAACACCCGTAGAAGCCGAACCGGTGGGCGAGATCATCTGGGATCACCGCTAGGGGCGCGGACCGCAGGTCAATTTCATTTTGGAAAAAGACGGACATGATAGGGTGAACGCGACTACTCGGCTAGGGACGGCTGGGAGAAGGATTAACCGTGACGCCATGATGGAGGAGGTTGCGGGAAGTTCGGAACCCCAGGCAGAGCCTGAGGCCGAGGAACCGGAAAAAGTCTATGGGAAACCTAGGGAAGAGGAGCGTGCCGACAAAGTTACCGCTGCCAAGAAGAAGTTTAGGTACTAAATCCCGATCTTATCCTTGCCGGAGATCGACGACACCATTAGCAAGTTACTAGGAACCATGGTGTCGGTGTCTTTTCAGACTATGCTGCAGGCTAGCCCTAGGCTGCTCAAAGGGCTAAGACAACACTTGACCCGGCGGCGAGTAGAAATAGGCGACAACCCCGAATTACCAGAAGGGGAGAAGGAGGAGGAAGTTCCGCAAGAAGTGGCTAACCTTCAGAGGAGTCGCGGGGACTTGGAGGATCTCGAGAAAGYTTTTGCGGATATTCGTTTGAGTTTGCCCGACCGAGAGGGCRGCGRGGTCATGAGGTTACCACCGGGGAGAAAGCTTAGCTTTCATGCGCTGCCCGTAGGGAAGCTGAAAATCCAGATYGGGACGCATCWTACCGACGCGTTAGTAAACGGGGGAGCAGAAATCACTCTCATAAGAAGAGATTTCGCAACGATCACGRGGTGTACGGTAAACAAGGAAGTAACATGGAGCATCCGGGGAGCTGGCGGGGACATCCTGTTCGCTAGGTACGTCACGAAGTGTGCTGTGAAGGCAGGGGTCAGGGAATCAATCTGGTCGTTTCAGCGGATGACCGTAATGGAGGAAATGGACCACGACATWAKCCTCGGGAGACCGTGGTGCGAGAACGTAGAGATGATAGGCATGCACTTGCACGATGGCTCATACATGGTAGACATAGAGGACCCTGTGACCGGCCGGGGAGAGCTCCTCCGACTCCTTGGAACGGGAGGAGACCCCCCGAAGGGGAAATTGGCAACATGGTCACCGTCGTTCGAGGATAGCACGCGGAAAGGGGCTTTCGCACGGATGGAGGGTATGAGAGAAAGGGTTGAAATCATGATTGAGAAAACATTCAATAAGAAGGAGTGGATCAAGAAGGGCCTGCCCCAGAAGAAGAGGAGGCAGGAGGACGAAGTCCTAGGTGTTATGGTAGCGGAAAAAGAGTCAGAGGTTGAACTTGGTGCTAGCCTACCCAAACGGAAAGAAGTACGAATAGATGTGCCGGAAATCGCACTTGAGATCCCCGATCTATTGCACCTCATCAAGGCCTTCAGATACCAGAAGGTAGGAGTGGATTCRGCAGCCTTGGCCAAGTTCGAAAGAGAGGTGCAAAAGGGATATTGCCTGAATAGAAGACTAGTTAGTATTCAACCACGAGTCGTAGAGGCGACGGGGGCAATTCCGACTGTTCATTTTTTAGGAGAAAGATCCCGGAAGGAAGTGTTCRAAAGTACAAGCCGGTAGGGAAGAAAGCAAAACCGGTCTCGATCCTGCTAGAGACGTCAAAGGAAGAGGCTATGGAGAAGGAGGAAGAGGTCCTTCAAGTGATCCGAGAAAGAAGGGCGACGGAGGGACATAGGATACTAGATGAGGTAGCGGACACAATGAAGATAGGGATAGACGGGTTCTTAACGGAAGGARAAGCCCGCCTGATCAAAAGGACCTGCCAGGAGTTTCACCTGACATTTGCCTTTAGTGATCACCAGAAGGGGCAACTGGATGCAAAGTTGATCGCGCCAGTCWGAATCCACACGGTAGAACATGAGTGCTAGAATGACAAGGGGCCATCCTATGAATTTGGGATAGCAGGAGAAGTAACAGACCTCCTCCAAACGAAGATGGACTCCTTCGTTGCAGAGCCTAYGACATCGCCATACGCAAATCGGTGGTTTGTCTTTCGAAAGCCTAACAAGACACTAAGGTGGATTCAGGAYCTGCAAAAGTTGAATGCGGTAACCATCCGGGATGCTGGCTCGCTACCTCAGGCTGACTTATTAGCAGAATTCACGCCGGTCKGAGCATTTACTCCCTGATAGATMTGTACTCAGGGTACGACCAACTTTCATTGAATGTTCGGGACATGCCATACACCGCCATGCACACCCCCGTAGGCCAGCTAGAGATGCAAGTGACACCTATGGGATTCACAAACGCGGTGGCCGAAGCGCAACGCAGGATGCTCGCCGTGGCCGGGGACATGTTCCCAGAAAAATGTGAGCCTTACATCGATGACAGTCCGATCAAAGGTGCACAGGAGAAGGACGAGACTGAAATCCAACCGGGAATCCGAAAGTTTGTGTGGGACCGCTTGCAGGACATCAAGGACTTACTCCGCCGGTTCCTAGTATACAACATTATGGCTTGTGGACCAAAAAGTATCCTAGCGGTACCGGAGGTAACTATACTAGGATTTCGTTGCGGGGCTTACGGCAGGAAGCCGGATCCGGCAAAGACCGACAAGATATCACAGTGGCCGACACCACTACGCACGGCGACGGAGGTAAGGGCATTCCTAGGCGTAGTCGGTTTTTGGAGGATCTTATTAAGAACTTTGCCAAGACTGTTGAGCCTATCCGGGCTATGATAAGGGAAGAAGGAACCATGGATTGGACGGAGGAGCGAGAAGGAGCTGTCCAAAGCCTCAAGGACATATTGACATCTGAGACAGTCGCCCTGTCCCCGCCTTGTTTTAATGACGAAGTGGGACGACCCTTCATCCTAGAGACGGATGGAGGACCTTTGGTCATAGGAGGTGTGTTGATTCAAAAGGATGAGGGAGGAAAAGAGAGGCCGATTAGGTTCGAAAGTAGAACCCTGAACTCCGCAGAACGGCGGTACTCGCAATTCAAGAAGGAAGTCCTAGCCATCCTGCATTGCCTTAAGACCTTCCAGGCCTACCTATTTGGGAGGCGGTTCATCTTAAGGATCGATCCGACGAATGTCGCAGGGGCTCTAAAGAATTACAGGCCTATAGATCCGACGGTAGGGAGGTGGGTAGGATTCATCTGGCAGTTCGATTACAAAATCGAACGGATTGCTGGAATCCGCAACAAGGCATATGGGCTGAGTCGGGTTTGCATCACTCCCAAAGGGATGGAGGATGCAGAGCCCATAGACGCTTTCCTCGAATACGAAGGAGGAACTCTTGCGGTGGACAACGAGATGATGAGCGGAGAATGCACATCGGGAGAACTATTGATCCAGACTTTGGAGAAAGGGGCACCTGCGGTAGTAGCAGATATTAGAGAAGGACCAGTTACCACTCGAGGACGCAGAGAAGAAAATGACTCATCAGGAGCGATAGTAGGACCGAAAAAGGAACTAATGGCAATGGTGGTCGAAGGAGGCCGGGAAGCAGTGATGAGCTTAGTGGAATCTTGAAAATGGAAAGGGTTGCAATGGGTGGTAAATCAGATGCAAGAAGGAAAGGATGGGGGCAAGGAAGGAGAGGAGTTTTTCTATGTCCAATCCTACGAAGGGCTCTTTCGGGAGATCGGATTGTTTTTGGTAGGAAACAAACAACCTACGGAAGTCAGTATTAAGGCAAGAGAAGAAGCCGAAAGATACGTCCAAAGAGGCGGGCATTTGTCCGAAGGGAGGAAGGCGCTATACCTAGAAGGGTTGTGTGCGGAAGATCTAGGCAAGTAGACGTTATCCAGGCAATGCACGACGGGTTAGCTGAAGGTCATCTGTCGTCCAAAGGAACACTTGCAAAGATAACACCGCTCTATTATTGGCCAGGCATGGCAGGTATGGTCGCCATATACTGCCAGACTTGCCTAATTTGCCAAGAACGAAGCTCGGTACGAGTCTTCGAGCCGCTTAGACCAACGCGGGTGCTAGGGCCGAGACATGTGGTCCACCTCGACCTTGCGGTCATGCCTATATCAACAGATGGGTACAGGTATATCCTGGATGCGCGAGATAACCTTAGTGGGTTCGTGGAGGCAGCCGCCGTCAAGAAAAAGACAGGGAGGAGTGTGGCGGACTGTATAGAAGACTTCTACTTAAGGCATCTATTCGTAAGGAGGTTTATAGCAGACAATGAGACAAAATTTATAAACCAAAAAGTATTGGGGATGCTTAAGAGACTCTACATTCCGAACAAGCTCATCGAGTCGTATCACCCTGAGGCCAATGCACCTGTGGAAAGGGGGCACCAAACCTTGAAGAACACGATTGCAAAGCTCGCAGCAGACCATCTAGGGAACTGACCTAGGTATCTTAAGCAGGCTGTCTTTGCAGAAAATATGACTCATAAAAGGACAACATGATGTATCCCGGCAGAGCTTTGGTACGGAAGAGAGATCGACTTTCCTGTGGAAGCCTTGGTACCTACTTGGAATAGGTTAGGTGATGATCCGCAAATGACCACTGAAGATTTAATCGAGGCAAAATGTCAACGAATCCTTAAGAATGAGGAGGTCGTGGAAGACATCGCTAGCCGGGTGCTGGACAGTAGAATGAGGGACAAAGCAAGGTGGGACCATGTTAAGAATGTTAGAAAGGAGCCACTTCAGGTGGGGCAGATGGTATTGCTAAAGAACTTGGCACTAGAAAGTACTTGGTCGGGACAGTTGGGAAGGAGGTTCAAAGGCCCCTACCGGGTCGCGAAGCGGGTGGGACTGAACACCTTCGAACTGGAAGATTTTGATGGAACTGGATTAGAAGGGCCCTTCCAGGGGCAACGACTGGTCAAGTTTCTAAGTCGGGACCCAGAGGAACAATGGCTTCAGGAGGCCGAAGATAAGGAAACAGAGGAGCCACAAGTTAAAGACTAACCACAGCCTTGCCCACACTATGGTTAATCTCTGACCATGTTCGTGGGACTGTCATTTTTTTTTGGACTGGTGCTTTGGCTTGGACTGACTGAGGTTGAAAGGTAGCATGACTTGGGGGTTTGCAATATCGGGTTTGTGTGACAACGGGAAGGGATGTTTGGGGCATTGTACCATAGTTTTTGACGGTAAAAATATGGGGTCATCACAAACGATGCATTCACATCTATAAAAAGGGCGTGATGCGAGGGATACTGGGTGCATTTTGGGAATGTCTACCGGCCTAAGGGGGGGGAGGCATAACTGTATGAGGGACATTGCGGGTGTTGTTTTGTTATACACGGCTTAGGAGTAAAACGAGAAAAGACAAAAATGAAATTCGGCAACGAGAACGACAGCGGGGCAATCAACAGGTCGACCGGGGGGGAAGAAGCTGGACCAAGCCAAGGGAGGAGGACAGCGAAGAGAAAATTGTACATTAGGCTCGTGGGCGGGCCAGTGGTAGGCAGGGGTGGAAGGAAATGTTTGTGTAGGAAACCCTCACCCCTCCGCAAGGGAGAAGGTATAGAAATATCATCTGACAGTGAGGGCGAAAAGGGAAGGGCAAATGTGGAAGAAGGAGGCAACACAAAAATGGGAGATAAGGCTCGGGTCTCTAACGAGGAAGGGGCCAATCGGGGCGAACGACGTGAGACTTGGCATGGGGAAAGCGAGGGGGGACAAG